GTGAACTTTTGTTAAAAGCTTTGCTTAAGATCTCTAAAGTCCGTTTTCACAATGTACATCATCTAACAACAATGTATGTAAATTTTCCTTTATTTTTCCATGTGAATATGATAATTTTTAAAAAGTTATTCCTAGGTTTTTTTTTTTTTTTATGGAGAAAGAAAAATAATACTCATAACAATTGTACGACTGCATTTAGATATGGTCGAATCGCCCCGGATTGATCCTTAGCTCCCAAATAGACCATTAACCTGTTGACTGATTTTCATTACTAATCTGCATGAATATGGTGTTCTCCAAAAGACACATGCCACCGATAAGCTCCACCATCAAATAAGGCTCCATGGCTAATCTTTTTATGCTGAAAAAGGGCAGCTCTTTAGAGAAATGGAACAGTCAGATTTTCAGATAAATTCACCAATAATCTCCACATGAGCAAGACCCACCGCTGAAATGATGAAACCTATGAGAGTCCCTTACTATAATTTTTCTTCCAGCTACTTTTGAAATAAATTTTGTTGCTTCATGGCAATCTCCACATACCCTGAGATTCTTTTGAATCCAGATGTCGCACTCAGGATCCAACTTCAAAATTCCAAAAACTATTGCAAGTTTCTCACTATGCACATACAGAGATTGTTCCTTGGTTTCCTCTTCCACGTCATGCAATGCAAAACTGGTGTTCGGTATGTAACCCATTTCCTTAATCCTTTTCATCAATCTATCCAGCTCCTTGTAGATCAAATCTGAATCTGGATTCGATTGATCCCCAACTAAAAATTTGAAAACCTTACCCTTCAGCTCTATAACAGTATACCCCACTGTTTTCTTCACTCCTCGCCTTCTCATTAGAGTACGAATGTTGTTAGCTTCTTCAATCTTGCCCAAGGAAATGTAGATATTAGACAAAAGAATGTATCGTCCAGAATTCTTAGAGTCCAACTCAAACAGTGACCTTGCAGCTAGTTCTGCAATTTCCAAGTCAGGATGAATTCGACAAGCACCTAATAATGATCCCCACACACTAGAATTCGGTTCCATTGGCATTATCTCAATGAACTCTCGAGCTTCCTTTAGCTTCCCAGCACGTCCAAGAAGATCAACCATGCAGGCATAATGCTCAGCTCTGGGAGTTATTCCGAATTCCGAACTCATGGAATTGAAGCATCGCCATCCCTCATCGATCAATCCAGCATGGCTACAAGATGAAAGCACGGAAACAAAAACAATATGATCTGGTCTCATGCAGTACTTCATTTGATCAAAAAGTTGAATTGATTCTTTTCCAAAACCATGCATTCCGTACCCAGAAATCATGGCACTCCAAGTAACCACACTCTTCTGCTGCATTCCGTCGAAAACTCTACGCGCAGATTTGAGTCTGCCACGCTTGACATAAAGATCAACCAAAGCTGTCATAACCATCACGTTATGCTGATGGAAGCCTCGAACAACAAAAGCATGAATGAGTTGTGCGTGTCGAACAGAAGCCGTAGTTGAATTCGAGCACGCGCGAATCAGACCGAGAACATTAACATGATCAGGAACAACTCCAAGAAGCTTCATGTCTTTCCACAAATTCAGAGCTTTAATAAACATGTCGGCCTGCGCATAAGCCTCGATCATTGAGCTCCAAGAAACCAAATCCTTATTAATAATCCCGTCAAACAATCTCCTAGAAAACCCAACTCTCCCGCACCTTGAATACATCACCATCATTGCGTTCAGGACTACAGTGTCCGAATCAAGACCCAGTCTTGTTATAAGCTTATACAAATCGTCCGCATCCTCGCTCCTGCGAATGCAAGGCATCACCCTTAGAAAAGTGGGTCTATTCGGCCTAACCCTTTCTATCATACAACGAAATAGAGATAACGCTTCTTCATCACGCTCATTATCAGCATATGCACCGATCATCGCACTCCAGGTGACGACGTTTCGTTCAGGCATTTGATCGAACAGTTTCTTTGCTGAACTTGTATCGCCGCATCTACCGTACATGGAAATGAGCGAGTTGGAAACGAAAAGATTTGCGACTAAACCGAGATCAGCGGCATTACGGTGAATACGAGTACCCTCCGCGAGGTCGCCAAGGTATGCACATGACTTGAGGACGAGAGGGAAAGTAAAGTTGTCAGGGACAGCGCGGGAAGAAGGGGAGCTCATGCGACGATATAGAGCAAGTACAGCAGCGTGGTCACCGTCATCAACCAGGCGACGAAGGGCGGCGTTCCAGATAGACGGGTCGGAGGGAGGGGAAGATGAGGAGAGTAGAGAAAGGACATCAGGGACAGGGGAGTCTATGGTGTGCATGCGGCAGAGGGAGGCAAAGGACGCCGATGTTGGCGGCAGTGAGCGAGGAGAGCAGAGCCTTTGCTGCAATGCATTTAGCATTGTTTGGTCGTCGACGATTTGAACAAGTTTGATCCATCTTTACTATTTGAATGAGCTGGATATAACGGTCGCAATGTCCCACCTTGAATTAGCGCTTTCTGGTAAAACTTCCACTGAACTTTTTTTGATTTATTTGGGCTGTATATTCTCTTTTTGTCATTTGGTCATCACATTCATGTCGTAATCTGATTTATTTGGGCTGTATAATCTTTTTATCATTTGTATACATCAAAAATATGTCTCGAGGAAATCCAATTAGTCTCACTTATGAACATCAAAGGACATTATTTTAGGATAGACAAATGATGAAAACACCAAGCGTTGATTCAATCGATTAGAATTCTAAGCTGACCAAACCGAAGCATAATCAAATGAAGAAATAAAAGTAGTCCAATCCAAGGGAAAATCCTTTAAGACTAACTCCATTGACAGATTCCAAAACTTCTCACAAAAATGACCAAAAGGCACCCCACGGAAGGCCTTTCTGATCCTCTTAGAAGGCCCTTTATCCAAGGAGAGATGCCCGTTCGATCACGCCAACATATCATATGTCTGGCAACCCAATTTCATCCTAACGACAAGAGGGCCTCTACTCAAGCTTCCCTTGAAGGGCTGACCGATGACTTTTCGACCGACTAAAAGTTATCAACTGATATAATGAAAAAAGTATTAGGTCGTTAGAAGCCCCTTTCAAACTGTTATGTATACTAAACAGCGACACTGTCAATTATGGATATGAAAATGTGTTAAAGTTGGTCACAAATATGAAAATGTGTAATAATGAATTATAACATCCTTATTTAAATAGGGACAAATATGTAATTTTATTAGATACCCCTAAAACCTATAAATTGGGGGTCATTTCTATAATAAATAACTACTGAATTTACTCTATTAAAATTCGGGTTATTGTGTACTCTCTCTCTCTCTCTCTCTCTCTCAATATCTCTATGTTTTATTCTTCCGTGAAACACTCTATGTCTTGAGTGTGATCCACATGACTTATTTGGATTCACACAATGTAAATTTAATTAGCATTAGCATTCACATTATCGATATTGGAAAAACATTGTAAATCTAAAATTTTGATGAAATAATTCTCATAGATGCACATTAAGAATGATAAAGAATGACCTCAATAAAGAAAAAAAAATATGTTCCTTATGCCAAGGAAATTAAAAAGGCAATTAAAGAAAGATAATGTGCTCCTTGTGATTGATTCACATTAAACATAAGTTAGGAGAGCATAATCGCCTTAGTGGCAGGTGGAAAATTCTCACCCTAAATTATTTTTCCCTCTATTAAATGGCATTTTTTTATAATATTGTCCCTCATAATAAAGGATTATGTCCAAAAAGAAACATAATTTTCGTATATGTATATATGTATTTTAAAATCTTAATCGATTAAGATAATTACAAATTTTTCGTTCAAGCTTCTGAATTATTTCTCTTTTAAATTTTTAATATTCATTTATTTAGATAATATGTTCGACCACCCTTAAAAAAAAATCAGGTTCCATCCCCCGTACTTGGAGAAGATTGTTGAGAAGTCATGGGTGCCTGATCCATACACTTCCAATTTCTATTTGAAGTTATAGTTTGAGGCTGATAAGTCCGGTTTCTTTATTGTAGCTCTGCTTAACTAGGCTTGAGGATTTGACATGCTCATTTTTTATGGCCCTCTTCCCCAAGATGCATGACATTCGTTGGTTAATGGTGTGCAATGAAAATCATGCAAGAAGAGCAAGGCAAAGGGATTAATGTACTAAGCAGCGGATCAACTATATAGTTAACACATTCCTTATTAGGGTCAGTCGATCACCATATAGACCTTGGAGAAAGGGCACAGAGGATTCCTTCATTGAAGAAGAGGGATAGATGTAATATTTTTTCTTTTTTTCTTATTAAAAAGGTTTTCATGAAAATAAATAAAAATATATTTGTCTTGATATTATTTGTTATTCACACATCCATTATTTTTATGTCATATGTCTCCTGGTAAATATTTATTAGAAGAGTATCCATCATAAAAATAAAAGGGGTTTAGAGGAATTTGAGAAAGTCATTTGAGGGTATTCTATGAAGGTTATCATAAAGAACCTCTTGCCATAAGACTATTCTTCAAGAAAAAAAAAAACTCCCAAGAGAGAATGTTAAATGGCTTTGACAAAATAAAATCAAAATTTAAAATATGATGAATAGAAAGGAAATATCTTTCATGTAGTGTCATTATTATATCTCTTAACACAAAATATAAGAAATGTGTTATCTTAAGTCAATTTTTTTTATGTGAAGAAATTTTAACTTAGAATAAAATCCATGCAATTAAAATGAACATGACACAATGGAAGAGCTATTATTTCCATGCAAATTCTAGGGATTCCCTTCACAAAAAAATGGTGGTTTAGCTTTGCAAGCATTTAAATGTGATGAAGAATCACGCTTTTCAAATATGTTCATAAAATCTTTCAACATTTTTTTTTCAAACCCCACTACTAATCCTCCTTCATTTGCAACCTTCTTTTTTTTTTGGCAATGAATATATATATAATTGAGATGACATTATAAAAAAAACCCTAAACAAGGTGTTCGTTTATCATTTTTTAGTGATTTTGTCAACACCTATAAGTATCCCCCTTGATTCAATTCATATTCATTTTCAATTTGCTAGTTATGTTCACTTAAATTTCAAATAAATCTAATTGACTTAGGTAAATCAAACGACTATATCAATTTAGTCTAATCAGAGGCACCCAAGGTCAAATCAAGCCCATAGTGCATTATCAACCTTGGAGAAATAAACCCCACCAAGATTTGATTAGGGTAGCACCAAATTGTGTACAATTTACTTGTTGTCAATCAAATTAATTTGAACACAACTCACTTAAAGTAAGCTTAATTTGACCTAAACTCTAGACTAGACCCAAGCTCAAACCCAACCTTGTCTAATTAAACCCTAAAATTATTGTTAATCTAATTGGTAAGTTAATGAAGGATGACTAAAGTATGTAACTTAACATATAGACGCACTAGAGCTAGGATTAATTAGCTTAGTTCACTTATAAACCTTAAGTTTACTAGAACCAAGACCCAAATGGTTTAAAATCATTCTGATCTAATTAACCATGTTATAAAGTAATTCTTAGGATTAACTCAAATTAAGCCTAGAACCGATTTACTTCAAGCTAGCCCATACCAATCTAATTCATATTTTACGAAAAATTGATGAATGGATCCACCTTGCTCAAGTCAAATGAGCTCAAGTTAATTCACTTGTTCTATTAGGCACACCCAAATCAATCTCTATGCCCATCTTGACCAAATGCCAAAATAAGTCAAACTTGGTTTATGGAGTTAATCTAGGCTAAACCATATACAACTAATGGTCATACTCAGCTCGACTAATTAAGATTAAGCTTAAACAAGCCCTAAACCAACACCAATAACCATTGAATTTGTTAAGCAGTGGTCAAACAAGTATAATGAAGGAAAAAATAAATTCATAAAGGACATGGGGTTACATGGCTTATGCCCATGCCTCAGTCCTTTCTCATTTTGCCTTTGTTGTTCTCTTGCTTACAACAACTAGGATACAAGTCTGAGCCCATTCCAATGGAATAACTCTCTCTCTACCATTCCAGCAACCTCAATTTATGTGGCCAATGGGTGTTAGTGGTGGTAGATAAGGGGTTGGTGAAGAACGACGGGTTACAGAGGATAGGTGGCAAGTGACAGACAATGATTAGTGGCTGGAGAGTGGAGTACTCGGTCAATGGCGAGCGGTGACCGAGGTAGATGGTTGGTGAAAAGCGGACATAGGTACAAGGACGACGGGGAAACTGGCGGCGAACATCAAATTGTGGCAGTCGAGGGCAATGATTGGTGAGTGGAGCCGTCCAACGACCGATATGTGAGCAATGGGCGATGGGATGCAGACATTGGTGCTAGTGGCGTGCAGCACTTTACACAATGTCGCTTATTTTGGAATTTACTCAAATCCAATGAATTTCAAATAATTGTAATATTATAATGCATTTGGAATTCACTCAATCAAATATTCACATTTTTGAAACTTCTATAAAAGGAAAGCACTGCACTCATGTTCGCTTTAAAACGAACTTCCGTAAAAGGCGAACACATTAACTTATTGTGAAGTTAAGGGTTATGCATGAAGAAGAAGTCAATGGCGAGCGGAGACCGAGGTAGATGGTTGGTGAAAAGCGGACATGGGTACAAGGACGACGGGGGCAACTGGCGGCGAACATCAAATTGTGGCAGTCGAGGGGCATATGTGGGGGGGGGGGGCGGCCTGTGAAGTTAAGGGCCCGAGATGGGATATTAGTGCACTTGCTATGACTTTCTTCCCTACATTGCTACACGAGTCCATTGAAGAGATTCTCTCTATTATGATTGAAAACATCTTATTTTGATGGCATCAAAACCAGCATCACTTCTTCTTTTTTTTTCTCTTTTTTTATGCATGAAGAAGATATTATTGCACTTGCTATGACTTTCTTCCCGACATTGCTACACGAGTCCATTGAAGAGATTCTCTATTATGATTGAAAACATCTTATTTTGATGGAATCGAAACCAGCATCACTTCTTCTTTTTTTTTCTCTTTTTTTTTTTTGAAGCAAAAAAGTTTCCTTGTGTATTTACTAGAAAAACTCAGCCTGTTATTCTCTCAGTTGGTAGCCCATCTCCGAGCCTTCTCCCTCCGTTCTATTTCCTTTGTAATTGTAGGATGCTATTCTTTTAAAACTATATATAGTGGTAATGATGAATGATTATGTAAACTTAATCTATTAGAAGATTTCTCGAAGAGAATAATAAATCCCAAATGTCTCCAAAGGTATCTCATATCTAAAAAAAAAAAAAGGATTTAAAGAGTGATAAAAATTTTGCTGAAAAAATCCTGCTCCACATGACTAACAGAACAGCACTTTCATTTTGAATGTGACTGCATATTGATTGCAATGAACCAAAGAGACTGAAGTTGAACTCATAAAGTTTATGTTGATACTTTTTCATTGGAAGTAAAATGGTTCCAAGGACACCTCTAGAATTTGCACGAGTACATCTT